GCAGCCGACTGTATTGGATCTGACAGCAGAATAAAAACAGATCATTTCAGACAGAGAGTCCAGAAATATTTCTTCGGTATTGTTTTGTTTTTGTTGATTTAGGAATGTTTAGATATTTGAACTGGAAACCAAGAGGAAAAAAAATCTTATACAGTGGTGTTGTTTCTGTTTCTCCACTTTCCATCCGTGTCTCGCGCTGTCTAATTGGAGCAGCTTTAGTTGGGGCGGCAGCAGGAAGTGGAGCGTTGGGACGTGACCTCTTTGCTTCGCTGTCACTTCCTCTGGGGGTTCCCGTAGTAACAGAGGTCAGGGTGACTGTAGGCAGAGAGAGCTCCTCCTCATCCCTCACTAATTACATCTGATGTCTTCGCTCTGCATAACTGAATTTACTGAGATCCGTTTCGATGGGTCGTGTACATACAAACTATATGCATGATGTGCATCCTCATCTTCTTTATCTCTCCTTTGCTTTTTCCGTCTCATTAAAATCAAACTGTGCAGATTTTTCAAGATCATCCCTAAAACTTAAAATGTTGCGACTGTATTTTTTACGGTAAATTTCTGGGAGCCACAGCTGCTTTTTTTTAGCTGTATGTACAGACGGCTGAAATATTTTCCTGGTTGTTCTTCAGGATAAGGTCTTGTTCTGTATTTTTCTGTAACCAACACACACACACTCACACACACACACACACACACACACACACACACACACACACACACTCTCTCTCTCTCTCTCTCTCTCTCTCTCTCTCTCTCTCTCTCTCTCTCTCTCTCTCTCTCTCTCTCACACACACATACACACACACACACACACACTCTCTCACACACACACACACACACCATGCATCAGCAGGAACTAGCTTAAGATCTTGTGTATAATCCAGCTCTCACTGAGACCAGAGAGAGAGAGAGAGAGAGAGAGAGAGAGAGAGAGAGAGAGAGTTGGTTTCGTTGAGAGGTATAATGTCTGCTGGATGGTGTTATGCTCATGATGCAGATGCCTTCAAAAACACCTCCATTCAGACACCGTTATCACTCTGTCTTCACTAAAAGAAGATGGTGTTTTTAATGGTAAATCTGAGTAGAATCTGTATATGAATGTATATTACATTCATATTACACTAGATTGTTACATTTTCTGACTGGTGATGGCTCACGTTCAACTCATCACCATTATGCAGTGCAAGACTAGTAGGGGGTTGCCATGGTGCTTTCTATGTAGTATATTTTTTGTTTTTGTTTTTTTCCATTCACCATTCAAAAGAAAAAATAATCACACACACACACACACACACACACACACATATTACTAGACACAAATTGGTTTTGAATAAGGTGCTACATTCTTTTTATATATATATATATATATATATATATATATGGTGCTAAATTTTACATTTCATTGGGATTGTGTTGTAATAACCAAATATGGAGATGATCACATTCACCCTGATGTTAGATATACACAAAGTGAATGCTGAACAATATACATATTGTATTACTTTCTTTGCACTGCTGGTCTGTTTAAGAAATATATGTCTTAAAATGTTTTAAGCACCATATTTCAGGTGATGCTGAAGAGCTTGTTTAATAACCTGAAACGTGAAAGGTATCACACAGAGCAGCTGCGGAGATTTACACACACACACACACACACACACACACACACACACACACACACACACACACACACACACACACACACACACACACACACACACACACACACACACACACACACACACACACACACACACAGACTGTCACGTCACCACACCGCCATCTAGTGTATGGCAGCACTCTGATTTCCGTCTCCACCTAGTTCTATAATTTCCCTTTCTTATCTTCATGACAGCAAAGTCTCTGTGTAAATCCTGCTGTTCTAAAGGCATTTGGCTGAAATCTAGAAGTCTCAGTGATGCTGCACGACTGGCAGATTAATTCTCACATCCTCTGGCGTGTTAATTGTGGAAAAACTGATTGATGTGCTCCTCAACATCCAACGGATACATTCCCATTTGCATACAAATTGAGTGTGGGGAGCAATTGTGTATTTTTAAAGTGAAGGACTTCATGTGTGAATGTGACAATGAAGGCAAGCTGATTGACAGATGGTTGGATGGGTGGTTCTGTCAAGAAATGCATTTGAAAAATTATAATATATTTGTTATAATACTTATATATTTTTTATTCTTGAACCAAAAACAAAAACTATGTCAATTATGCATATTCAAATATTCTATTCAAATTTCATGAATTCCACACTCACTGTGGTGGAGTTAAAATAATGCAATACTTTATTTGTGGGGAAAAAATATTATTTCTTGAAAGGTTTCTTCTTTTAAACGTTCTCTTTCAGCCAATGGCAGATCTTTTGGCCTGTTGAAGGTTACTGGTGTGCCTCTTTGCTGGTGTAAATGATTATGCATTGATGTTTAACAGGCAATGAAGAAGAGTGGAAGAATTAGCTGCTATCAAACACATCTAAATAGCATACCATACTGTTTTATTACCGTACCATTTCTGCAGTCAACATATTTTCTTTATGGATGGAATACCAGGATGACCAACATCGAAATGTGTACCTTATAACAGAGCGAACTGTGTGGAATACTGAAACCCATAATGAAAAGCACCTTCTATTTCCAGGGTGTTGAATGAACTGGATGAGAAATGTTACAGGTGCTCCTCGACTCACTTATTTAACAAGACATTCGATATTTAGTATGCAAAATGACTTTCTCATAGAAAATCATTACTGAAAACTGGTGCTTGCTGAATTAAACAAGCAATCATACTGTGTAATATACTATATTGTAAATGTTTATCACAGCATAATGCCTTGCATTTCACATAGTCTCTAACAAACTATCCTGAAATATAGCAAAAGTTTGGGGCCGTTAAGAATATATAAATATAGAAAAATAATTCATACTTTTATTCAGCAAGGATGCATTAAATTAATCAAAAGTAATTTATTTCTAATAAATTCTCTTCTTTTGCACTTTCTATTCATTAAATAATCCTGAAAAGAAAATATCAGTAAACTGTTTGCCATATTGTGGCTGTAATGAGCACACGACAATCTGAGATAACAAAGAACAGTCTTTTTAACTCAATACTCCAAACACAGCAATCAACAGGAGAATGTGACGGGGAGAAAATAACAACCACATAACCATAAACTATATTGGACAATAAACAGACAGAACTCAGGGTTTAAATACACAGGGAGAGTAATCTAAATAAGTACAAGCAGTTGAGTTAAATCAGTAACTAACCATGGCATAAAGAACACAGGCATACCAGAATAGGAAACAAAAACAAAACTAAAACAGAACATACACATTACATTAGTCCCCCCTCCCGGAAGGTACGTCCCTGCGCCATAACAAGTCCAAACAAGGAGGGAGGGAGGGAGGGAGGGAGAGGGCTTTGGGGGAGGACGAGGGTCTGGCAAAGGGCAGGACACCGGAGGAGATGATAGAGGGAGAGACCAAGGTAGCGATTATGGTGGGAGGAGCCAGGAGCAGAAGTAGCCAGGTGGGAACCCAGAGTGAAGCCAGGACAATGACCCACGACTGAGTCAAGGGAGGAAGGAGCCATGTTGGATACTTGGCTGAAGACACCAGGGGGACAACTGACGGAGACGAAGCCGATGGAGGTCGAGACCCAGGTAGAGCTGAAGAGCCGATGAGCTCACTCGACACAGATGGCTCTGGAGACGGTGGTGGAGCCGCAGTGATGAGTGTCCGAGGTGGAGCCAGGGTGCCAGAGGACTGAGGAGAAGCCGATGTGACTGAAGACCAATGTGGAGCCGGAGGGAAGGCGGAGCGCGGCGGAGCTGAACGGGTGGAGGAACGAAGCACAGCTGAAGGCCATGGCGTTGGCAGAGCGACGTCTGACCAAGGTGGAGCCAGGGGGACAAGAGAGCCCGGTGGAGCCGCAAAGACAGTGGTCCCAGTTGGGGCTGAGGAAGGGGGAGCCAAGTTGGAGCCAACTGGTCGCTGAGCCGAGGTGGATTGATGGGCTTGCCGGCTGGAGGTGGACCCAGAGGATCATTGTGCTGAGGCGGAGCTGGAGACTGGAAGGCCCAAGGTGGATTGGTGGATTGACTCACACACCTGGTCAGGCTCTCTGTGGGGCTCGGGCCCCTGGGCGATGGTATGCTCAGTCCTCTTTACTAGCTCGTGCATCGTGGCAGGCTCAGGCTCACTGTCTGCGGTGGGCTCTGGCGTTCGCTCCGTGGAGTGTGTGGTGGCTGGCTGGGCTCTGGGGCTGGAGTGGGGCTGGTGATGTCCTCCGCTGGGCAGATAATGAACGCCAGTACATTGTTTACCAGCACCCACTCCAAAAATGCGGCAAAATCCTCTCTGGGACCGTTCACTGGAAGGCGTGCCTTGGACTGAGCGGTCCTGATAGTGAGTTAGGCATGCAAGATCTAAAAAGTTCCTTGTATGGTCCTCCAGCGAGCGGTCATTCTGTTCCAGGCAGAGTAGTTGGACGGCTGGTAGGTCCAATTGAATGGGAAAGAAAAGGAGGAGGACAGAAAACCGACGCAAAAAAATCCTGTCTTAGGTTCGGTATTCTGTCACATTATGGCTGTAATGAGTGCATGAGCGAACATTCTTTTATTCAGTAATCCAAATACAGCAATCCACAGGAGAATATCACAAGGAGAAAATAATCACATAACCATAAACATACCAGACAATGAACAGACAGAACTCAGGGTTTAAATGCACAGGGACAGTAATCACAATAAGTACGAACAGGTGCAAATTAAATCAGTAACTAATTAGGGCACAAAGATCACAGGCAAACCAGAACAGGAACAGGTCAAAGGTTCTCAGGGTCTGAAACATTATTATTTGAACTGACTATCAAAAATTATTACAGAATGGAGAAATTTGATGCAGTTTATAAATAAAAGATATGGTGCCGAAACAAGTAATACTAACAAGTCTCTGTTTCTCTTTCTGGCTTTGTCGTTACAGTCTGATGATCTGGATCCCTTCCAGGACATTTTAGAGGACAGTGCATACACTACTGATGTTGGCATTCCCAGTCCCAAACCAAAATTTCCGCCTTGCAAAGAAAGCAAAAAGGACCTGATAACGTAAGCAAGAATGATGTGATCACCCACCGCACCATGTTTCACAAGCCTTTACACTGTTCTACTGTCTCTTCCTGTTCTACTTCTCTTCTTTATCTTCTCTCACTCTCTGCTTTAGAGCTCAGCAGTACTGCATGCCACATGATCTGACATAAGCATAGTGTCAGGAGGCCGAGTATGCTTACTTATATAACGCTTTATGGATTTTAAACATCATTTAATTTGACCTCTTCATGGCTCAGCTTCTCCCTAGGATGTGATGTGATTTTAGGACTTAAGCACTCTTGCAGACAGTGAAGCTAAACTGGAAACAATGAACAATAAAAACAGCATCATAGATATTTGGCCAACACTTTGTGTTAACCACCAATCAGAGTTCAAGTTCAACTAGGCACTTATGCATAGACTGTTACTGGACCCAACAGGTATACGAATTAGAGCTGTCAATTTAACACATTTATTCAATTACCTAAAGAGAAACAAATTTAAAAATGTTTCTCTGCATGATATATAATGATGATACAAGTGTTCCTCCGGATTTAGATCTAGCTATATTGTATTTATAGAGTTGGCTAGCACATATATCAGTATTGGTCGGTTTCATTCCATTAAGAGATTTAAATGTTGCTATTAAGAGATTTAAATATTGGTGAACTTTGTTCTATTAAGATAATTATACATTGGTCAGCTTTGTTCTATTAAGTGAATTAAATATTGTCAATTTTTGTTCTATTAAGAGATTTAAATGACTGTCTGTCACGTGATGTCTGAGTTTTAGTTGGACTCAGTTGGTTTTTCATATTGTTTCCTGTTCTGTTTCCTTTGTTGGGATTTTTATTCATTGTTTTATTAATGCACCTCACCTGTTTCTCGTTTCTGTCATTGGTTTTCGTTGGTATATATTGAGCCTCTTTTTTGTACGTTTTTGTTCTGTTCTCGTCAATGTAAGATGGTTGTTCTGTTGGCATGTTTTGATATAATTGAATCCTAAATATTTTTGTATTTTAAAAATTTGTAAATAAATAAAGAGTGCTACAGTTAGATCCTGCTCTTTTTCATCTTTGCGCTTAACCACGGCTTGACAGAAGAAATTAACCCAAATATGGATCTACAGTAGCTGCAGCCCAAATCCTCCTCCTCTCACAAGGTGATCGGTCTCCCGAGGAACAATTTTAAATATGTTCTACCTCGTCCAGCAAACCAACATAAACCTGTGTGCGTTTTTACGGGCAGGTCTGGAGACAGTCCTCTGGGAACATTTCCGGAGTACATCGACTCTGTGCTTATAAATTGTGGATCTCCCTTTACTATCTATGAGAGTGAGGAGAATCATCCATCGCCAGCGCACAGTCCACAAAGTACCATCTGCTAAAGCAGCTATGCCCCCAACAGAGCACAAGCCAGAGCCCAACGCTGACTCAGAGCCCGAGTTGGCAGCAAAAACTGAGCCCCAACTCAACAGGAATCAAAAGCCAGAGCCCACCGCAGACCCAGAGCCACAGAGAGCAAAGTCTGATCAGCTGCCTGAGCCGCCACATACATCCCTAATGGAGCTTAACCCCTGAGGGTACGTTCAAGTTTTGGAGTTTGACCAGGAGCGAGAGCCAATAGTTCTTCGACCATTTCCAAATCTCCTTCTTCTTCCAGCATTAAGTCTCCTTCGTCGCCGATGCTCCCGCACAGCACCAAGTCTGATTTGTCGCTCAGCACCAAATCTGTGTTGCTCTCAGCCAGCCTCCCACTTTTTCCTCCTCTGCCTATGCCATCTGGTTCTTCGGCCCCATCTCCATTGGCTCCCTTTGGCCCTTCAGGTCCTTCTATGCTGGCTTCACCAAGCATCTCAGATCTGCCTTGATCTTTCAGGTCTCCAGCTCCACCCTGGTGTATAGATAACCTGGCTCCACCTCAGCCCTCCGAGCCCTGGACTCCACCTCAGCCTGTCGACCCATCATATTCACGCTGGCTCCACACTCCCTCTGGTCCACAGTGGTCCATCATCCATTAGGCTACGCCGGGCTCCCTCATCACTCTGGCTCTGCCTTTTTCAGTTATCACCCTGGTTGTGCCACAGACAACGAGTCCTCCACCTACGCCTCGTCCCTCCACCCCTTTGGCTCCAACGGTCTCTTCCTTCCCTCCAGCTCCACCGTTTACCTCTCTCCCTCCTTCTCCACCTCAGTCCCACAAGCTTGTTGTTCCACCTCAGCCCTCCAGTCCATCGTGCCGCCCTGGGTCTTCTACTCTTTGGCTACTCATGGGTCTCCACCACACCCGGCTTCACCTCAGTCGGTCAGGCTCATGGCTCCACCCTGGCTCCTCCTTCGTTTCTGCCCTGGTCCTGCATCCAGGTGTTTCTTTTGGGGATCACTCCCTGGCTCTTACCACCATCATCCCCTACTTGGCTTCTTCTTCTTCCTCGGTTGTCCCTTCTGCCACCTCCGCATCCTCCACCTAAGCCCCCTCCCACGCTCCTCTGTTGGACTGTGGGTAATGTCACATTATGTCTGAGTTTTTGTTGGACTCTTATTGGTTTTTCATAGTATAATTGCTTCGTTTTCGGTTTCCTTGGTTGGCTGTTTCTCATTTCTTTAATTGGTTTTCGTTGGTATATATTTAACCTGTTTTCTGTCAGTTTTCATCAATGTATGATTGTTGTTCTGTTCCGTTTTTTTTATATTATTGAATCCTGAGTATTTGGGTATTTTTGAGTTGTAAATAAATAAAGACTTCTGCAGTTAGATCCTGCCATGACGTGACACTGTCGGTATTGTTAAGAGATTTTAATAAATCGAAAGTAAGTCATTCTCAAAAAGTGTTAATGAAAATATGAGCAGATGTTGCAGATGAAAAGTCTGATGCTGGGGCACACAGCAGGAGAAAGTAATAAAGGAATTTAGACAATGGTCGGTTTTGATGTAAGCAAGTGTAAACAATCCTCAGAAAGCATCAATGAAGATATGATTAGCTGTCTTAAGTGGAACAAATAACCTGTTGTCAAATAGTCTAATGTGAGTTTAACATTTTCCAAATTGAATTAGCAGTCATTTATGCAAAAATGTTGAGAAATTTAAGGTATGGGTTTAATTTTAATTAGTATCATATTTGATCTGAGCCATAATTAGTATAATGTGGTGCTGTCCCTGTGGTTGAAAATGAAAGATTTTGGTTGAAAATACCACAGAGAATTTTCCCACTATTGGAGCAATGGGAGCAATTCACACTCGAAGTAGTATCTTCATGTTTTTGTCTGTTGCGATTCATTGGATTCATTAATCAACACATCGTATAATTAATCGTATATATATATAAATTCAATTGGCAGCCTTAATGAAAACATTTCAGGTCTTTTAACGTTTCTACCCCTGGCTGTAATGCACACAAAGGTGTTGTAATGCTCACCTGGGGACTAGATTGAAGTGTAGCCATTTTTACCAGATTTTTTTTTTTTTTTTTTTTACTTTTGGTAGTATAATATTTTGTTTCCTTTGTTATGTTTTGGATTTTGGCCTTTCATTCTGTCTATTTTTTTCTGGAGACAGATGTCCAACACCAGGGTGTTATGGGAGTGGTCACGTAACCGGTAATTACGCCTCACATAGAAGGTGTGACTCCATTTTTTAATGGTGGATTCAGTCCAATGAATTTATTGTTTTCAGCTTACTTCAACTATGCTGTCGGAAAGTTATCAGACTGCCTCTCCATGTTAACCCTTTCAATATCTCACCAGAGATCCTGGGACAAGTGCTAATTTCAAGAGAATAAAAACCATTATAATGCTTTGCTATTCAGAGGGTTACTAAATACAGAGTGTCCCTTCACTTGCACCATGGCTTTATTGCATTTGTGTATGTGTGTGTTTGTTTGTTTTTTTAGTATTAGTAGCATGTCTTACCACCAGTTTATTTGACTAACATCTGAATATGCAACCTTTTAGTCTTTCAGGTTGTCCTTTAGCAGATAAAAGCATTCGGAGTATGATGGCCACCAACTCACAAGAACTCAAGTAAGTATCAAACTGTACAGCACAGACATGGCTCATACTCAGGAATCAGTGCCATTTGTGCCTGAAAATGACATCTCATCGGTTATATTCTATTCTATATTGTTTTTTTAGATTTTTAGATAATGTTTTCACACTTCAGACCCAAAGCATCAGTGGCCACCATAGATATTGGGATGCAACCAGCGCTTGACATTAACTTTTTTGCTCACTAGCCAATGTGGCTAGTGGTTTTCCAAAATGACTAGCCACGCAGCATTTTTACTAGCCACAGTTTTGTTGTTGTACGTTTTATATGATTAAAATTGACAATGGGGCTGAAAACGTGCTAAAATGAACTAATATTATCATTAGCTCTGATAAGGTTGTTAAGCTCCTTTTTTGATAACATGTTGTCTAAGATACACACATAAAATAGCTTCTTATTGTATATAATAAAAGTGCTGCATTGTTTGTTTGTTTTTTGTTTTACAGCAGTAAATACTGCAATACAGAGTAGAACAATTATCTGCATTAGAAACAACGAGCAAAGAATAAATAATAATTTTAAAGAAAAAATCCACAATTAAGGCACCAGGATTACAACTTTATATAGGCTATATAGGACTATATAGGACTTTGGATTGTTTGTTTTGCATCAGCTTTTCCTCAGAGCTCTGACTTAATAATTATCATCATGAAGCTCTGAGTAACTGGAGATATGTCCACCTGAAACAAGTATAGGCCTACAGGTCTTTATTTTCCAGATTATTCCCACAAGCGCATCTCCTGCTTTCTTTCATGGCATGATTAATTTTATTAAAACATAGAATTAACTCTGGAAAGATAGTTGTGATATGACGTGACATAAGGGCAGCCCTGCTAGTAGTTAGGCCTACACCGTGGCCCTTAATCATGAAGATGATTTTTGCTTTAATACCGGCCATGCACACTCACGAACTGACTGAACGCTGTGTTGATGTGTGTGTGTATGCGACCAGTCGCGTGTGATGATCGTTCGTTTGGCGCGCGCACCCTCGCGCAGCGGCACTGCAGGAGAGCGTGAGACACGCCGGTGGTCTGGATTATCCTGCTATTAAAAAAAGATCGCTATATCATCACATTAAGTTGATAATTAAGGGCAGACTAAAACAGCCCAGTTCGTCGCACAGTCCGCGAGTTTAATCTCCGCGTGTCTTCTTGTTTGCAGTGTTGTCGTTCAAGAGGATTCACGAATGGACCAATGAGCAAACACTAAACTATGTGCAGGTGGTACTCATGGGAGTGGTAGTGGCATAGTGTCAAATTGCAATTCGTTTGTTATGTCAGATGTCCTTTGACAAGACTACAAATCTTCAACACGCCAAAGTGGCTAGTGAGAGTGACTGTGTTACCCGCCACGGGTGAAATGCACCCGCATTTGGCGGGTTGGCGGGTGTTAATGTCAAGCCCTGGATGCAACTATAATGCAATGTACCTCAAAATCCACAAAAATGAGTTTATCGTCACCTTATTTTTAAAATATCATTTGATGATAAATATGTGACTACAGCTTACTACGAATTATTAATGACCCCTGACATTCTCTTGTGAAAAACCAGTACACTTTAGCATACTTTTAAGAGTATACAAATAATATACTTTAAACGAATATGCTTGGTGTGAACTGACACTTTTCAGACACTTAAATGCATAAAATGAGATGAAAATGTCTTATAGTTTAAATTGATATTAAAATAGAAAAATATACTTCAATATAATTTTTTGTCATGTATTTAAATACTTATAATTACACATTTGTAAAGATGAAGTTGTACAATTTAGTACATTTAAAATACACTCACCGGCCACTTTATTAGGTACACCTGTCCAACTGCTCGTTAACACTTAATTTCTAAGCAGCCAATCACATGGCGGCAACTCAGTGCATTTAGGCATGTAGACATGGTCAAGACAATCTCCTGCAGTTCAAACCGAGCATCAGTATGGGGAAGAAAGTTGATTTGAGTGACTTTGAACGTGGCATGATTGTTGGTGCCAGAAGGGCTGGTCTGAGTATTTCAGAAACTGCTAATCTACTGGGATTTTCACGCACAACCATCTCTAGGGTTTACAGAGAATGGTCCGAAAAAGAAAAAACATCCAGTGAGCGGCAGTTCTGTGGGCGGAAATGCCTTGTTGATGCCAGAGGTCAGAGGAGAATGGCCAGACTGGTTCGAGCTGATAGAAGGGCAACAGTGACTGAAATAACCACTCGTTACAACCGAGGTATGCAGCAAAGCATTTGTGAAGCCACAACACGCACAACCTTGAGGCGGATGGGCTACAACAGCAGAAGACTCCACCGGGTACCACTCATCTCCACTACAAATAGGAAAAAGAGGCTACAATTTGCAAGAGCTCACCAAAATTGAACAGTTGAAGACTGGAAAAATGTTGCCTGGTCTGATGAGTCTCGATTTCTGTTGAGACATTCAGATGTTAGAGTCAGAATTTGGCGTAAACAGAATGAGAACATGGAACCATCATGCCTTGTTACCACTGTGCAGGCTGGTGGTGGTGGTGTAATGGTGTGGGGGATGTTTTCCTGGCACACTTTAGGCCCCTTAGTGCCAATTGGGCATCGTTTAAATGCCACGGCCTACCTGAGCATTGTTTCTGAGCATATCCATCCCTTTATGGCCACCATGTACCCATCCTCTGATGGCTACTTCCACCATGTCACAAAGCTCTAATCATTTCAAATTGGTTTCTTGAACATGACAATGAGTTCACTGTACTAAAATGGCCTCCACAGTCACCAGATCTCAACCCAATAGAGCATCTTTGGGATGTGGTGGAACGGGAGATTCGCATCATGGATGTGCAGCCGACAAATCTGCGGCAACTGTGTGATGCCATCATGTCAATATGGACCAAACTCCCTGAGGAATGCTTCCAGCACCTTGTTGAATCTATGCCACGAAGAATTGAGGCAGTTCTGAAGGCAAAAGGGGGTCCAACCCGTTACTAGCATGGGGTACCTAATAAAGTGGCCGGTGAGTGTATATTAACTTTAAACAGTACAGTTAAAATTATAATCAAGTACTTTACATGTGCTCATATTAGTCAACACATCACTTCACTGAAGCATGACAATAGATTATTAAAACAATTATTTAAAATGTTCTTTAAAAGTGTATTTAAGTGTGATATGAAACAGCCATGAAAGTGTGCTTTCAAAAATATTAAATTATCTGCAAGTAGTGTTTACTTTTAAGATTTGAAGTTCAAATTGTGCACACTTATTTTTCACAAGGGTTGATATGGCTGTTATAAGTGTAAACATAAGTGTAAATACAGATCAAGACTGTAAGACAAACTTATCTCTGTTTGAAGCATGTGGTCAAAAAGACTTCATAAATGATGAAGTCATAAAGATGTCACAGTATAACAGGGTTGAACACGAAACACGTATATTACAGTTAAAGAATGATATCTGAAAATAAAACATCCAAATATTAGGTGGAATTTTTGTTCTGCGAAATCCATTAAAATGTTATAATGAATGAGGATATGCAACAACAAATTATAAAGGATATTCCAATGAAAAGCAATGTTTTTGTTTTTAACGCGCCATTTTGTTGACATTTCTTTTAATTGAAAAACAATCTAAGTGTAACGTGTATATCCTGATCTGTTCTGTTTTTGTTTTCACTCTGTCTTCTCTGTTCCCATTTGCCTGTGTTCATAATTAGTTCCCTTGGTTACCCATTAACACTTTAGTTTGTTGCTATGGTTAATCATTGATTAGATTCTGTTCACCTGTGTTCATCTAGTTTCTTTTGTTTGGTCCTTGTATTTATATCCCTGTGTTTAAGTTCATAGTTGTCATCTCTCTTTAACGTATATGTTGAAGTCTAGTTTGTATTTTCTCCTGTGTTCTGAGTATTTTGAAGTCAAGTGTGATCTTCTTCGTTATGCTATATGACCAGCGTGACACTATGAATATCATAAATAATAATATTAGCACATTTTAATTGGCTATTAAGTGTCTGGGACACATGGTTTTCTGAGAATGACACCCAGTTTTTGGTTTCTCTTAATATTTTAGCACATGTGCTGTTCTGAGGTATGGCAATGAATGAAGCTTTGAACATATTATATATGAAAGTTTTCTTAGAAATTACAGAAGCTCCTGAGGAGTGATTTTGATTTGATGACACACAATGACTTGAACGGAATGTGTGTTAAAACCAGTCAGGATAGTTAGAAAAAAGCTTACAGCAGTGCATAATACACTGTTTAAGTTGTGAGCTCATTGTTTTGTATCAGATTATTTTTCTAATGCTGCAAAGCTTCTTCCCTTCATTTCAATAAGCAGTACATGACTTTTCCTTTTATTTGGAAGGTTTGTGGAAAGCTGTAGTGGGAGTTGATGATGATCATGTAAGGTCAGGGCTCTTCTTGTGCATGCTGGGCAGTAACAGGGTGTATTTCTGTCCCAGGTGCTCGACCCCGGGCTGTGACGGCTCGGGACATATTACTGGCAACTACGCTTCACACAGAAGGTAATGCACACACACTCCCTTCTGAAAAAGAAATGCACTTGTATTGTAAGTAAAACAATAATAAAAAAACAAACCTGCATTTGCCGATAATATTAATGAAATATAGTGTAATTAGAGTACACTTTCATATGTTTCTTAACACACTTGAGTACACTTTTAAAAATTGCTTCAAATACATTTTAAATCATTGTTTTAATCATCTTTTGTCATGCTTTAAAGATGTTAAAGCAAATTAACATCTTATAGAAACAATTATGAAATGATAAAGTCCTATTTAAGTGGGTCATAGAGCACTCTAAAGTTCAGCTTATTGCATTTTATATCAATTTAAACTACTGTATATTATGTAATTGTAAATAGCATGCAATTAAGTGTCTGAAAACATTACATTCAGTGTATTCTTCAAAAGTACATTTCTTTCTATAATAAGCACTCGTTTTAAATGTATGCTAAAGTGTATTTTTCACAAGAGCTGAAGCAACAACAGCTTGTTTTCCCCCAGTTTGTCAGGATGTCCACGGGCCCGGAAGACTGGAATAAAGATAACGCACAGTAAAGAGGACAAGGAGGACCAGGAGCCGATCAGGTAAGTATTAGAAATATATTAATTACCAGCAAGTTGTTCAAAAGTAACCAATGTTTAACATTAAAGCTGCAGTCCGTAACTTTTTTGTGTGTTCAAAATTTACAAAATGTTTATAATAAGCGAGTACATCATGAATCCATTTGCCAAACCATGTGTTTTGTCTTATCCTGAATCCCTGCGATAATAAGTGTTTATATTCGTAGTATCATAGTTTTTATTAATATTTTAAAGTTAAAGTTTTAGTAAATTTGTTGTTTTTGTTTTTTGTCTATATTGCTTTCATTTTATTTCAGTTTTAGTTATTTTAGTACTTAAAATGAGAAATGCTGTCTTGGCAACTAGCTAAAAATAAAAAGAGTTTAAGATTTTTTTACATTTAATTTTATTTCAGTTAAAGTTTATTTTATTTTAAGTAACGGAAATGTAAAATGACATTGATTTAGTTTGTCTGACAGAGATCCCGTGTAACAGTGGCTTGTTTGTGTTTGCAGGTGTCCGGTGCCAGGTTGTGATGGCCAGGGTCACATAACGGGTAAATATGCGTCCCACCGCAGCGCGTCAGGCTGCCCTCTAGCGGCCAAACGGCAGAAGGACGGCTACATCAGCGGCTCCCAGTTCACATGGAAGGCTGGGAAGACAGACGGCATGTCGTGTCCAACCCCGGGCTGTGACGGCTCTGGACACGTCAGCGGCAGTTTCCTGACCCACAGAAGGTGCTTTTTTATTTGCAGAAGAAATTATTTACACTGAAACCCAATAATGCTAATCACAAGTAACATAAAAACATTCAGATTCAATATTTACTAATAGTACATTATTAAAATTAAAAGTTGTGGAGATGGTGGTCTATCTATCGATCTTTTTTTTTATTAAAAAAAGAAGCATGTGTTAATATTATTTTTCAGGGCTTGACGCTTACTTTTTTCTCTAAGGAGCACAAGTGCTCTTAAGTTGAAAAATTTAGGAGCGCATTAAAAACTTTAGCAGTGCAATGCACATTTTTCATATGTGTTTTAGCTTAAAAAGGGGGTATAAAGGGACAATATAAGTAGAATACAAAAAGTACACAAGGTTTTACTGAAGGTAATTGCTGGAGCTTTTATCGTGGTAACCTATATAGTATCACGTATTGAATTAGTTTACAATAAAGTGTTGTCCTCTAGCCGATCTTAATAACTTTTTCCTTACAATAAAATCTCAGAACATTTAAATATACAATAAAACAATACACACAATTTTATAAAGCAAACAAATGTTTCAAACAGATTAAAGTGCAAAAAAACTAGAAAGAACAGGTAACACTAGGTAAGTAACAATAGGTAAAACTACAATAAGGTCCCTTTAGTTAATGCATTAAGTAGGCTAACATTAACTAACAATGAGCAGTTCATGTTAGCTCTATCAACTTTTGATTTTAATAATGTACACTGTAAAAAAGATCACCTTACTAATATTGCAATAACTAATACATACTGTAACAAATGTATTGCTTATTGTTAGTTAATGTTCTGCATTGTTACCCAGATGACAAGCTGTCTTGATGCACACTAGGGGTGTTCAACTTTGACTGTGCCTCACTGATAGATATTTAAGCTAAAAACTAATTAAGTAGAGTCCATATTTTTTGTCAGCTTTATTTTGACGGTGAATACAACCAAATATAACATTAAGATTACATGAAGAGAGATTCCCTTTCGAGGTGGAACTCAACACTGCGTCTTGGATTGATGCTATGGGGACGTCATCAGAGTGACCATGTCTGAACCATGTGTGCAAACATGACAATTTCAGTACTCGGCCCGGACCCAGAGTACTCCCTCATATGTAAGTATTTAGGACTAGAAGTGTGGAGAAGGGGCGGTGGAGGGGTGCTGAAAAACTGTCAATGGATTGAGGTGAGACTGCTGAGTCTATATAACACCTCTTATCATTGATTGTTGAGTGCTCTCCACCCATGTTAATAATCTGAACGTGCTCCTCCCGAACTTTGTTAATAAAACATAATTTCAGGAAGTGTGTCCCTCCATGCCCCAGGTTTTTAACACCCGAGGAAACACGCGATCTGTGCGTTGTGTTTGGGTGTGGAGTACGCATGTTTAGTTCTCAAGGGAGCTGAATGTGCCCATTGAGAGAAATATGCAAACTCCATTCACGCTTGACCTTATTCCAAAGGGATCTGGGAAAAGCATCTGCAGCCCATAGCTCGGGTCCCGGTGTAGTCGAGGCACAATGCAGACTGAAGTCATGGGGATCGCAGGTCGAGCTGACTGAGGAGATCGAAAAAGGTATGGGTCTCTCGCGCTACTCAGTCACTGGCTCGAGCGATCTGTTGGATCAGGATGTGCTGTCTCTTGTCTCTGGTCTAGCAGATAGCATGCTAGGCGAATGTGGTTGAGGAGGGCGAAAATTCAGCATACGAGGAACTTCTAGATGTGATGGCCCGCACCACGACTAGATTAGATCTGGTTTTAGGGAGTGACAGACAGGGAGTCGCTTGTGGCAGACTCGACGAGCGATTCGTGTCAAGTAATAACCGTACCGCTCCTATGAACTTCACACAGAGGTGAATAAGTCGTGAAAGAAGCCATATTCACCTCGTATCTATCCTTTCCAGCATTTAAATTATTTGAATTTGTAAGGATTGCACGAGCAAGGATATGCGAGGATGCGTCCTTTTGAAGAGATTCTTGTGGGCTTCCTCTCTCTGGGTGAATCCTTATCCTCTCTGAAGGCTTCAACCCTGCTGTCCAAGCTGTTACAGACCACCTCTCACTTAAATGTTAGGGCATATGTGGCAGCAGATCAGGCCAGTGGTGCCTTACACACGATGGCTGTGTTGCAGGCATACCAGGCGGATCTGGAAAGTTTTTTGGATCAGGGTCAGGGACTGAAGCAGTCACTGAGTTGCGCCGCACCACGGATCACTAAACAAACAAATGCTGCCATTTGGTCGATCAATGACGGCGATGGTGGCAAAGGAGAGATATTTGTGGCTGAACTTGGCGGATATCAAGGAGAAAGCGAAAAACTTTCTCCTTGATCCGCTGGACTCGCCCTCTGAATTTTTCGGCACATCTGTAGAGACAGTGGTTGGTAAGATTAGAGAGGCAAAGGCACAGTCAGTAGCTTTCAGAAAGTACATCCTGGGAAAATCAAAATCACTGCCCAAGACCCAGGGCCAGAGGGAGAGCGTGGCCACTCGCGCACCTCCGAGGAGTAAAGCACAGAGGAGGCGGGACGCTAGGATGAAAAGACTAGATCTGAGGGAAGTAATTAATAAGAAGCAAATTGGTTCCCTTTTAAGTAAGGGGGGTGGGGGGCATCCCTCCTTGGGGTCCTCCACTCCCTGTTGGAGCCTTAACCAATCCATGTAGAACCTAACATGCTGCGGTAATTTGCCTTATAGCATCCCTTCTTGTTATTGGGCATCTTTTTGAGTGCTGGGAGTCTTTGGATCCTGGACAAGTCCAGGCAGGATGAAAGCACTTTCCCCCGAATTGTTCTGGGGTAATAGAGCTGAAGCTCCCCAGCGGTTCCCTGGGGGTTTGAGTTTTAGAATGAGGATAATGAGTAATTATTCTTGCAGTTCCTGTATATGCTCCCCTGGAGGTAGTGATGGGGCAATTATTCCCTATGAGCTGTATCAAACAAGAGATGTTGACATAGCTTAACCTTAGAGCTCTGCTCTTGGGCCTCATGTGGCTAATGTCTGGCCCCACAAGGAAGGGAGGAAGGTTGTAAAGGCCAGGACCTTCCTTGTCATAGAGCATAGAAGCTTGGATAAAGGGAATACTGCTACTACTAGACAGCCTTTATGGGTCTTAGGATGACCCCTGAATGATTGACGCATCTGTCTCCGGCTAAGTAAGTCCGTAGAGTCAACTTATGCCATGCCCATTATGATTGTGCATAGGCACAGTTAATGAGGCAGGCATTCCCTCAGCATGGCGTAGAGGGTATTTGTTCTCTATAGTGTCAACCCAAAATGCAGTATTAAAGGAGAACTCCGGCGCAAAATGAACCTTTGGTCTAATTACACATTGTTACCTAGTCAACCGTTATCTGAGATTTGTTTTCATGATTATCGAATGTAAATAGTTTTATCTCTAAAAACAGTTTAGCCTATAAAGCTAGTATAACGCTAGTATATTGGGCATAGATCAATGACAAAAAAAAATCGCTTGTTAATACCACTAACAAGGCTGAAAATAGACCCACACTAACATGGTAGCATAATGAGGGTCCCTACCTTCAAACCGAAGCATTGAGAACTTTGTAAGTGTACAGACAGTTTAATAAGAAGATATTTTAAACATACAGTCAACTTCGTGTATACAGGCAGAAGCCATCTTTGAAATACAGCCTTTACCAGTCGATCTACGAACGCCGATCCAAGTGCGCTGGTGAGAATGATAAGGTGAGCGCGAACAGCAGGCTTGGATCGGCGTTCGTAGATCGACTGGTAAAGGCTGTATTTCAAAGATGGCTTCTGCCTGTATACACGAAGTTGACTGTATGTTTAAAATATCTTCTTATTAAACTGTCTGGACACTGACAAAGTTCTCAATGCTTCGGTTTGAAGGTAGGGAGCCTCATTATACTACCGTGGTAGTGTGGGGCTATTTTGAGCCTTGTTAGTGGTATTAACAAGCGATTTTTATTTGTCATTGATCTATGCCCAATATACTACCGTTATACTAGCTTTATAGGCTAAACTGTTTTTAGAGATAAAACTATTTACATTCGATAATCATGAAAACAAATCTCAGATAACGGTTGACTAGGTAACAATGTGTAATTAGACCAAAGGTTCATTTTGCGCCGGAGTTCTCCTTTAAGTTCCACTTCGAAAGGGAATGTCTCAGGTTATGACTGTAACCATGGGTCTCTGAGAAGGGGAACGAGACACTGCGTTTCGTAGCCATGCCTCAGGCCTGCAAGCACATCTCATTCAGACAAAGAAGTTGATGATGTACATTGTAGGCGCCCTCTATACTCATGGGCGCTCTGGTAATAACATCATAGACTGTCATCGGCCACTGAAACTGGTACCTGAAGCACGTGTGCAAACACTACAGTCACGCTGATGCCGTCCCCATAGCATTAAACCAAGACGCAGTGTCTCATTCCACTTCTCAGGGAATCATGATTACAATCATATTCCTTAGACCGTTTTACTGTTACAAAACAGTCATTGGTGAGTTTGGCAATACTCTAGGTACTTTGCAAAATAAGTAAATTTTATGACCTACATGCACCGCTTAAAATCAGATGCTGATCGGTCTGCACAGTGCCGCATGAAATCAAACATGCCTATTAAAATCAATGCATGAGGTCTATCAGCCAATCAAAAGAGACGATAGCATACATCTGAAAGGTACACACATTCTTTAAATTATGTGATGTCATAATAGCAAACTAAATCCAGGCTGAATTATTCCCCTCAATATTTATAAATAATGATGTTATTGTTTGAAATGTAATATTGTCTATTATTAAATGTATATTACATTAAATAATAATAATTATAAAAAAATATGAATTGTAATAATTGTTCAATTAAATATTAAAATATTCATCAACAATTGACCTAATTCTCATCAACAACCCCTGACCCAATTCTTAGTGGTAAATTAACAAATTATCTTCAAAACCATTCAAATTAAAAGACCAATTTAAAAAGAGAATAACCTTTCAATAAATGTGCTGAGATGAGATCGAGTGTCATCTGTGGGCAAGAGGAAAATTAAAAAGAGGAAATCTTACTCCAGAGAGTAACATCTTTGATCTTACCCTAAACAACAGCATCAAGATTAGAAACAGAGTGAAGGGAACAACAAACAAGAAGACGACCGTAGTGTTCAGGATCTGCACAAGATACATTCACCAGGCTATTTATACACTAACAGAAACTCAGAAACAGATGGTACCATAGCAGTGCTTTCAGGATGGAGGATGGACTACTAGTGAACTGCGGACTGTGCTACTGTGTACTCTTATTTAGCATAGTATGTGTATACACATACTATATATCAGGGGTTCTCAGATCTGGCCCTCGAGGTCCACTACCTGCAGAGTTTCGATCAAGCTCCCCTGTCTGTAGGTTTCCAGTTCTCCTAAAGACCTCGATTAGGTTGTTCAGGTGTGTTTGATTAGGGTAGAGCTAAACTCTTCAGGAAAGGGGACCTCGAGGGCCAGAGTTGAGAACCCCTGCTATATATTTACTACACTATTTGTATGGGTTATTTCATGAATACAGAAAAATGTACATACTGTGCAGTGAACATTGTACATACTCCAGATACAGTAAGAATGATACGATAGCATGCTATTCTAAACAGCACGTGAGTCCGGTCAATATTTAGGTGAGAGCGCCCTCTGCTGCCCTGTATGATGTAGCATTACATTAATGACAACAAATAATGACTATAGGTTTGTAAACTTGTACAAAGAATTTTGTTCTTGTTTTTGTATGAAAATATAAGAAACTTTCATTTATTTATACCACTACTGTTCAAAAGTTTGGGATCAGTAAGTTTTTTTAATGCTTTTGAAAGAAGTCTCTTATGCTCACCAAGACTGTACTGAAGACTATTTGATCCAAAAAAAATAAAAAAATAAAATTGTGAAATATTATTACAATTTAAAAGAACTGTTTTCTATTTGAATATATGTTAAAATGTAATTTATTCCAGTGATCAAAGCTTTATTACTCCAGTCTTCGTTGTCACGGAATCCTTCAGAAATCATTTAATCTTTTCAGAACGGCCTTTATTTGAAATAGAAATCTTTTGTAAACATTATAAATGTCTTTACTGTCACTTTTGATCAATTTAATGCATCCTTGCTCTATAAAAGTATTAATTTCTTTCCACAACAACATTTTCCTGACCCCAGACTTCTAGTGTAAACTGTTTGAGACTGAAGTAAGACATTAGTAGTGGGTAACTGCTGACCACCAAAACTAAATACTACACGGTCACAGACTCTTTTTGGGGAAAAGTGTTAATAATCCATATTTCATCCTCCACATTCTCCTTTCTCTCATTTTTGTAGTCTCTCTGGTTGCCCACGTGCCACAGCGGCGATGAAGAAAGCCCGACTATCAGGAGTGGAGATGCTCACAATAAAACAGCAAACAAGCAATGGTAAAGAAAAAGTCTCTTAAATCTCACTGTAGAACAAAACCAGTCACCAAGACTTTTCAAAATATGCAAGTAAAAATGCAAATTATGACATTCTCTCCATGTCTGTAATAATACCAATTATAGATAAGTGGTTTGTAATGCCTGGGAATAATTCAAACCATCCAAGAGTTTATGCGAACACATGAGTGCAATTATAGAGTATCATACTGTAAAATGACAGGGTGTTTTTATGTACAGGTATTTGCTTTTTCTGCTATAAATCACGTTTGTCTGTTCTCACTCTAGGTTTAGACTGCGATGCAGATGTTAAACAGCTGGATGAAGATGTTAAAGATTTACATGAATCAAATTCACAGGTGGAGGCGGATATGATCAAACTTAGAACACAGGTGAGGATATTTATAGAATGATTTCCATATGTCAGTATTAGTGGTCAAAAGTTTGGAATTATTATGATTTGTTAATGTTTTTGAGGGAAGTATTCATTCATTTGACCTTTGAAAGTACAGTAAAAACGGCAAAATTGTAAAATATTATTTGCATGATTGCATTTATTCGTGTGTAAAAAGATGTAAAAATCATGGTTTCCACTAGAAATAAAATATAATGATAATCATAAGAACCATGATTAATAATTGAACTCCAATCATAATTCCCATCACAGGAATATCAAATATATTAAAATAACAAAGTTATTTCCAATTGTAATAATATTTCACAATATTACGTTTTTCACTGTATTTCTGATCAAATAAATGCAGCCTTGGAGAGCAAAAGAGACTTCTTCATTTTATTCCAATTATTCCAACATTTGACTATAAAACTTAAAATGTATCTGAATCTTTAGTATTGTAACAACCTTATTTACAGCTAAAATAAATAAATAAATAGTTGATATATACCGTGATTGTCACAAAAGATGAAGACGATGAAGATGAGAGTCCACAGGTTCAAATACAAAATGTCTTTAATAATAAAGTAAACTCAGGTAAATGCAGACGGTGTAACAGTGTGCGTTAAACAAACACTAACACTAAAACCGACCGACAACTGAGAGTGAACAGGGAGGACCTTAAATACATAATAGTGATGAACCGAGTGAATAACAGCTCTGTGTCCATGGAAACAGATGAGTGGCGGGAAACTAAGACGAAGGAACACATGTGACTAATGAATACAAACTAAAAGTCCATGAAAGCGAAAGAACATACAGTATATTCACATATATTCACTACTATTTAAAAGTACGTTTTTTGTTGTTGTTTGTTTGTTTTAAAGAATTTAATAACTTTATTCAGCAAGGATGCATTGATCAAAGGTGACAGTAAAGACGTATAATGTTACAGAAAAATTCTACTTTAAATAAATGCTGTTCTTTTCAAATTTCTATTTATCAAAGAATCCTGAAAAAAATGGTTTCTGCAAAATATGAAGCAGCACAGCTGAAAAACAAACAAACAGATAAACAGTAAATATTTAAACAATAAACAGGTGAGACAAAAATGTGTGTGTGTGTGTGTGTGTGTGTGTGAACAGTGGCTCAGTACATTAGGCCTTACAGTGTAAATGCAAAATGTGTAATAAATCAAATTTCAATCCCACAGTGTACTTATTATACTGTAGTCTAAGTTTGAACATTATGTTGTCATACTATGAAGACTATTTTCATCAGAATTAACAAGTGTGTCGATTCATGTCCCACAGATCACCACGATGGAGTCTAATCTGAGGTCCTTAGAGGAGGAAAACAAGGTGATTGAACAGCAAAACGAATCTCTCCTGCGTGAGCCGGCCCGCCTCAGGCATTCACTGATAAACAGTTTAGCTAATATCCAGCTAGCGCAGATGGCAAGGGACCATCCCCAGCAGAATGAGGACAAGTCCTGGACAGAGAGCGTATTGCTTTAGTCTGTTCATTTAGAAAAATCAAGAAAGAACTGTGTTAGGCTTGAGGCTCCTTCAGTAAACTGAGCCTGAGCTCCAGCACTACGGCACGACCGGGTCGTTTCAAACTAGTCCATACGTCAAACGTTGTGGCGGTCAACTGCTGTAATCTGAGTTTGGCGCATTGTTATTGCCAGAGTCAAGGGGAACTCGCTTTGAGCTGAAAGCCTCTTTAAAAGGCCAGCTCTGCTAAAACAAACAACAGCAATAAAGCATAAACCAGTTTTTAGTATATACCAGTCTTAGTTTATCTCAAAGCCTTTTAGTCTTTAGTTTTAATATGGTTTATTCTGCAGCGAGTTGGCTTAAAAACAATCACTTCCACAGACATTTCATTCATCACTAAACCAGTTTATACTAGTGCTATTTAAAGATTTTTTTTAATTTTTAATTTTTATTTATTTATTAATTAACAAAGCAAATACAAACAAATCAGGAACAATGTCAAATCTTACTACGAACTTACAGTGCTCATCCTAGAAAAAAAGGTGCTATTTAAAGATTATTGATATACTATTATTTTTTTTTTTTTACTATAATAGTTTTTGTATTCATTTAAATTTGTAGTCATTTTGTTTCTGTCATTCTCTTTTTATGTCTATTTAGTTATTTGACGTTTTAGAATTATATTTTAATTGATTTAGTTTTAGTAGTATTTCAGCCTTTCAGCCTTTAGTAGTATTTCAACTATACTAGCTGAAATAAAATTAATTTTAATGTAATGATATTGTTTATTAATGAAAATGTTTTTATGGATTTTTTTTTGTTGTTGATGATAATAACCCTGGTTTATACAGAACGATTTTAGGTCGACATGGCTACACAAAACAGATTTCTTCCATCGCGCTCATTTTGTCTTCTTTTATGCTCAACAAAGTGATACCAAATGAATACAAATAAATCGCATCTAATTTCATTTCATCACCAAAAACATAAATGTGTTTAGCTTTGATAATGCAACAATACGGACTGGTTGTTTCTTAAAAGGTTTAGATGAAGCCCATTCTCAGGGAACAGTGACATTTGTGACATTTTCTCTCATTTCCCTCATTTCAATCCCACAGTATCCGAGCTGTAATCACCACAGACTCTCAAGCCTTACAAAGTATGAATAGTTGATCATTACTCGACCCTGAAGCGCTTCCAACCAGTCACAATAAGCTTGGAATTTAAATGCTTTAAATTGAATTGAATTATGAATTAACAGTTGTTCCCTGTTACACAATATGGGTTAAAAGTCTATACCAAACTGGGTTAAAAAAAACCCGCTTTAACTAAATATCATACAGCTTCACATTATTCATTGTCAGCAATCAGATTTTGTCCTTCATAACAGAGCTGACATTTTGAGCTTGATGAGGTCAATGTAAGTGTAAACATAATAAAACATAGTGATACAAATAGTGAATGCATGATATATGGATTAGGGACATAGAAATATTTATAATAATAATAATAAATAAAAACATTTAGAAAGTTAGTCCTTGGTACATAAATGGCATCATGTCCTACAGAATGTCCCGGTAAGTTGTCTTGGATTGGGTGTTCAGACAGTGTCCTGATCTTGTATTGAGCATGTTGAACTGTAAGCTGATACGGTTTTGTTTTTTTTTGCTCTAGAAATCCCTCCTCAAAGAGCCTCCAGTCAGACACAACAGCTGTTTACAGTTGCATCAGAGAGTAAGTCCACAGTTTAACTCTTACCTTCACCATACATATGAATATTTATGCTTTCGATATGTCTGTCAATTTTAAACTGGCTGAGCACAGTTGGTGTTGGTCATGGTGAACGTCATTATGATTTAATCTTTCATTCACGATATGTCCACCTATACACATAAATTGTGTTGTTCATGGTTACTACCATGTTAGTACCTACCTATCCACCTGTCTATAAACTTACCTACATATCTACCAACCTAGTAACCTACCTACCTATCTATAAACCTATCCATATACCTAGCTATATATCAACCTACCTACCTACCCACCTATCTCCAGTATAAACCTACCTATTTACCGATCTACCTAAATACCTATCTATCAAACTACCTATCTACCCACCTATCTACATATCTACCCACCTATCTACATATCTACCCACCTATCTACATATCTACCCACCTATCTACATATCTACCCACCTATCTACATATCTACCCACCTATCTACATATCTACCCACCTATCTACATATCTACCCACCTATCTACCCACCTATCTACATATCTACCCACCTATCTACATATCTACCCACCTATCTACATATCTACCCACCTATCTACATATCTACCCACCTATCTACATATCTACCTACCTATCTACCCACCTATCTTCCTACTTATCTTCCTACCTATCTACATACCCACATATCTGCCCACCTATCTTCCTACCTATCTTCCCACCTATATATTTACCTTTCTACCTACCTACCTATCTACCCACCTATCTATTTACCTTTCTTCCTACCTATCTACCTACCTTTCTTCCTACCTATCTACCCACCTATCTATTGGCGCTTTTCCACTACACAGTACCAGCTCGCCTCGACTCGACTCGCCTTTGTTTGGTTTTCCACTGTGTAAAAGTTGTACCTGTACCTGCTTTCGGGTACTTTTTTTCGTACCACCTCCGGCGAGGTTCTAAGCGAGCTAAGGCGAGCTAAGCCGATACTAAAATGTGACGTGAAAACAATGCCGACTGCTGATTGGTCACAGAGAATCTGCGTCATCATTGCACGCGCCAGATGGAGTATCCAGAATAACCCCGCCATTTTTAAATAGTTTGGCCAGAGATAGTTACTAAACTTACTACTATTATTATGGCAACTCGGAAGAATACGCCGTGGTCAAACGAGGAGGTGCAGACATTCCTTTGTTTGGTTGCCGAAGAGAGGATCCAGCGAGAGCTTGATGGGGCAACGAGGAACGAAATGCGTCGCTATGACGACCGGGTACTATTTGTGGCGGTACTTTCTGCAATGGAAAACGGAGCGAAAAGCGAGCCGAGTCGAGTCGAGCTGGTACTGGTAATGGAAAAGCGCCATATCTACCTTTCTTCCTACCTATCTACCTACCTTTCTTCCTACCTATCTACCCACCTATCTACCTACCTTTCTTCCTACCTATCTACACATCTTCCTACCTATCTACCTACCTATCTACATACCTACCCACATATCTGCCCACCTATCTTCCTACCTATCTACCCACCTATCTATCTACCTTTCTTCCTACCTATCTACCTACCTTTCTTCCTACCTATCTACACATCTTCCTACCTATCTACCCACATATCTGCCCACCTATCTTCCTACCTATCTACCCACCTATCTACATATCTACCCACCTATCTACATATCTACCCACCTATCTACATATCTACCTACCTATCTACCCACCTATCTACATATCTACCCACCTATCTACATATCTACATATCTACCTACCTATCTACCCACCTATCTTCCTACTTATCTTCCTACCTATCTGCATACCCACATATCTGCCCACCTATCTTCCCACCTATCTATTTACCTTTCTACCTACCTACCTATCTACCCACCTATCTATCTACCTTTCTTCCTACCTATCTACCTACCTACCTTTCTTCCTACCTATCTACCTATCTTCCTACCTATCTACCCACCTATCTATCTACCTTTCTTCCTACCTATCTACACATCTTCCTACCTATCTACCTACCTATCTACATACCTACCCACATATCTGCCCACCTATCTTCCTACCTATCTACCCACCTATATATATACCTTTCTTCCTACCTATCTTCCTACCTATCTACCCACCTATCTACATACCCACATATCTGCCCACCCATCTACCTACCTATCTTCCTACCTATCTACCCACCTATCTATCTACCTTTCTTCCTACCTATCTACACATCTTCCTACCTATCTACATACCTAACCACATATCTGCCCACCTATCTGCCCACCTATCTATCTGCCTTTCTTCCTACCTATCTACACATCTTCCTACCTATCTACCTACCTATCTACATACCTACCCACATATCTGCCCACCTATCTTCCTACCTATCTACCCACCTATCTATCTACCTTTCTTCCTACCTATCTACCCACCTATCTACATACATACCCACCTATCTTCCTACCTTTCTACCTAACTATCTACCTATCTATCTACCTACCCAGATATCTACCTACCCACCTATCTATTTACCTACCTACGTAAATAACTAACTAAAACATAAATAACAACATATTTGTTTTTACAAATTATGCCAATCTTGTCCCCGATAGGCAGAACACATGATTTAGACTGATTAGACTTATTATAATAAATCTTGCATACAACTAAATTCAGTCCTGTCAAAGCAATTAACAGCCATTAAAGGAAAAATTCAAATTTGTATCTAATCTTGGCACCAATTTGAAATAGCCCATATGTTTTGGGGTTATTAATACTACAGCAGTTACATTAATTTATTTAAAAAGTATTCTATTTGAATTCTCATTTCTTGAATTCAAATTCTAAATACAAGTCTGCATCCTGTTTGCCCCTCAATTCCAGGAACTGAATTAGAATCTCAATTAGAATCTAGATTTTTTAAAATATAATTTTTCTAAATTCTCAAAAGTGTTCAGCCCAGATTCATGTGTTGTTGTCATCTTCCACATACTGTATTTCATCTGACAGGAGCTTTCCTCTGTGTTTTCACAGGAGCCAATGAGCGAACAGAGCTTTGACGCATATGTGACCACGCTAACGGACATGTACACCAATCAAGATCAGTATCAGAGCGCAGAGAACAAGGCCCTGCTAGAAAACATCAAACAAGCAGTCCAAGGCATTCAAGTCTAGCATCGCAGAATGAAGGGGCCACTTTCCTACAGCGAAGGAACACAGGGAACAAAAGACACTTTCAGAAAAAAGAAAAAAAATCATATGGGATGCCTCACGTTTTGCTGTTGTAGTTTATCAAACAGTGTTGAATTCATGTTCTTTTAAAAAGTGTTATGCTGACTAAACATCATTTTTCTTTGGGTTTATTTTTCTGGCCTTGCTTTTTTTTAAAAAAGATCTGCAAAATAGTTTTGGAAAGCATTCACATTTTGTACGTTTTGTAACGTGAATCATCCTTCTCGCTGCTCATTGATGCACCTTTTAGTGTATATTACACAACAGTGAACATTAGTTTGTGATGCTTGCTGATATAGAGAGTTCAAATCACAGAGGTTAGCTCAGTGAAAGATCTACTGAAAGATGATTGGTGCTGTTTCTTTTTATCATTAATATCAACGCTTACACTTTTTTTTCAATAGTCTACTTTAGAGATTCTGCTGACTTTGCAACTGCATGTCAACAACCTCTCAAGGCCTGGCCGACGTTTAACGCCTCGTGACTAAACAAAGGGCGCCAATGTGAGTGTGCACACCGACGCGAAAAACGCCACGCGTAAAAGCGTCATTTTTTAAAAAACGCCTCGGGTTTGTTTTTTTTGGTTTGACGCACCGCGTCAAAAACTATCCGGCCAATGAGATTGGCGCTTTTGCTCACGTGTCTGGAGCTTCTGAAGTTACAGTAAAACACAACTTGGGGGCGCTCAAACACAAAACGGTCTTGCCGAGCACACATACGTAACGGCGAAGATGATATACGCCAAGTAGCGTCTACACTGCCGGGAAGAAATAAGACGAGGAAGATGCAAGGCAAGATGAATGTAGAGCTGCTGGTCTCGTTGGTGTCGGAACATAAGGAACTATATGACAAACGCGACAGCGACTACAAAAGTCTTGATAAGAGAGAACTGTTATGGAGTGGTATTGCAGAGCAAATGGGCGCCAGCTAATGTCGGAATGAATTTGCATGTTCACTCGGCTCATCGTCAGCGAAAATCGCTTGGGTGTGAACACAAAAAACGCGTTGAAAAATGCTGGCGAATAACGCGCGCCGATATTCGTCCCGGTGTGTACGAGCCTTCAGAGTGTTAGTAGACTGTCAGGTTAGGGTTAGAAGAATAAGTTGACGTAGTTGCAACGTTACTTATAGTTCTTTCATGACAACTCTCAGGAGATTGGTCTGGTAATAGAGATTGGCATAGTAATGGATATGGAAATGTTAATGTATTTGGTCTTGACTGCATAGATCTGCTGCTGCAGAGCAAGTACTGAGACTTTCTACAGCCGATACATTCACAGACATTCTGCTGCTGCTGGACATGTAACAGACATGATGTAACCCTGTAGCAGATCTATACAGGTGGAGCTGGGGAAGAGGGAGGGATTGTGAAAGCGCGCTGCAAACTGATAACAGCAACACTACCCGTATTTGAATGTTGAGCTGCAGCTCATTGGCCACTGATGCAACAGCAACCAATCAGCAGCGCTATGTAGAAAATGATGTGATCGCTAGCAAATGAGTTCGACCAATCAGCCTGAGCCATCTAGAGTTTCATGACAGAACTAGGCAATCAGTAGAGTGTCTGTTGGAGAGCATCAAAATAAAGAGTTAGCAGATATTAAGCAGAGAGTCTACTAATACTCTAATGACTGCTAGTTGACATGTAGTTGCAAACTCACTTATAGTTAGCGGACCTTCGAAATAAAGCATTATACCATATAAACTATAAATTAAAAAGACGTGGGGTAAAAAAACATTGGTGTTAAAGATCTTAGAAGCGGATTTGGAATGTGAATGTTTTATGGTAAGTGTCATGACAGGGAAGGCTAATGGTGGAGTTCCTGACACTGCTTCAACATGCAAACGGAAACGCTTTGATTATTTGTGGCTTCGTCATTTAATCTGCATCAGTGTAACGGCATAGCAGCTCTAACACACTGTACGTCTTCACTTGGTCTATTCTTGAAATTACAGTAGCCAGAATGGAACTGTCTCAGCAATATTTGACTAAACCATGTGTATATAAAAAAAAGAGAGAGCGAGAGAGAGAGATGCAATCTATGTGGTGGGTATATGCAATTTCATGTTTGTAAACAGTGGAAGCTACAGAATCTTTTTACTATATGTAAATGATTGATTTTTATATAAATCTTTTAATACAAATGTTTTAAAGGGAAGTGGAAATTAGGTTTAGAGACGGACGACGCTGCGCTGGGACACCTTCGTTTCCATGCTCGGATGTTTGTACAGTATGGAAACTAACGCAGAAGGAATTTGAAAAGAATACACACAGTAAAGACATTGAAAACGGGACCTACAGGGTTTTTGCCCCCACTTTTTGTGCCAGAAGACAATTTGCACTTATCCCACCTTCGGACGATGTGCAATCTCCAGGTGTCTCTTTGGCACGAGGAAGGCGCGATGACAGACGTTCAGCGGCTTGACGAGAGATTACAGGGATTGAGATATTCGTGAGGACAATATCTTTACAAGAAACATTGTGCATTTTTAAATAACGATGCTAGTTCGTCGAGTATGTTCTGTATCATACAAAATAATCCCCAGCAGCACTTTATGTCTAATTATTGTACAAAATCATAAAAGAGTAGTCAATCAAAATAAAGCATTTTAAGAAGAAAATCTCCCAGTGCGATGGGATCGGTGGTTAGAGACATCAGTAGAGTTTGACGGGATCGCGCCACTACGCGCACCCCTGATCTCTACTATTAGCTGTAGCAACCTTGTTAATAATACCTTATTGAGAGCTAACGCAAAGGGGCTTGTACTTCACTGGATCTCATCCATTGTACAAATCGGCCCTTTTTTAGGGCCCCATCGTTCATGCACAGCATCACATCTGCAGCTTTCTGCCAATATAGTAATGCTTTCAATAGAGAACTAGCTAGTATGGGGTTTTTGAATCAATCGGTACAATGGGAATGGGAATTTAAGCACAAACATGCTCCTCATTTACTGTTGATATTGCATAATATTGATTTTTTTATTTGTAAAGGATATGTGACTAATTACCCAAGGTAAAACAAAGGAAGTCACGTATTAGAATGCGATTTTTCATATGAATTATTGTGAATTCATGAGTTTATTTATCTGGAATTCTTCATTTCAAGGTTGATTTGTTTAATCATCAATGAAGATGGGATTTTGTATAAACTATTGTGCTCTCTGTGGAACTGGAGTTTGATTTATTTTTGTACGATACAGCATGAATTTGTTGACATTTTAATTTTACTATAAATGTGTGAGATCACAAGTTGCGGTGAGTTTTCATTTTTAAATTGTGGAAATTTGTACAATATTTGTCATGCTGGATGTTGACACATCGTACTCTGAATAAAGAAAATGGTGTTGCCACAGACTCGAGTAGACATCTTCTATGATTTATTGGAGAAGAAGAAATGCTTAAAACGATACAGGCTTCATAAATTGATGTTTTTAATGCAAATCCTAAGCATGCGATTTCCTCTAATAAAGATCTGTTTTTGGCTTTGTTATTTATTTTAAGCAGCCATGAACCAGTAAAAGAGTACCAGTAAGGCAAACAAAATCTTATACATTTTTTTAAATCATCTGCATCATTTTCATATATGTACATGTTTAACCTTTGTGATGAATAGTGTATGCTAATTTAGTTTGAACAACCACCCGATGTATTTGGATTGCATTTCTCACAATTTTGACTTTTTTTTCAGTCAGTGAGTGAGTGTTAATGCATTATGCAACAAACAAATGTAAAATGACATTTCATGTTTTACAGCAGCAAGAGGTATTTAGGGAAAATGACAATTTCGTGTAAAAATCTAACTTTTGGCAGTAAAAATCGAATGGTGCCTGACAAAAGACATGTTAAAAATGTATAACTGATAGTGCGTCAAGACAAAAGCATTGCACTGTGGAAAAGCAATAGTGCTCCACACAGCGTGATCAATGCATATAAACAATATATTGCAGTGCAAAAGTATTTCATTGTGAACAGACTCTTATTATGTAAAGCGTATACTAATATGACAGAAAAGCAAAAACTATTTAAATGTGTAAACATTTTTTTTTTACTGTTCTTTTGTAGAATATCACAGAAGTAAAATGCCAAAATTATTAGTAGGCTAATATAGGCCTATTCAATTATAGACTTATATATTCACTAAAAATGTACAATTAATTTGACATTTATTAGCCTAATTGGTGGAACTTTTTTAAATGTAGTTAGACCCTATTTATGTTGAGTACTAGATCATGGGTTTTCAATCTTTTAGATTCAACGGACACCCAAATATGATCATCCTCATGTGAGGGACCCCCATCCTAAACTTTAGCAGTTAGGCCTATACATGTTCAATTATAAAGACCTGTGGAAAGACCTATTCTCTCTACTTTAGAAATGCACTGTAATATGTGTTATCTGATTCAAAATGTGTTTATTTTTTATATTTAAAAAAAATCTAATGTTTTTATTTATTTATTAAATACACGTATTTATTTTAAATTAAATGTATTTGTTTTAGTTACATTATTTTTTGTATTAATTTTGTATTATTATATTATTTTTACTTTTCTCTAAACTTTTCCATGGGCCTTAGCACTTCCTCGATTAATGGTTGCACTTGCATCCCAGTTTGCATACTCAGACTAGTAGGCTACGTACTACGCAAATGCCGGTCCTTTGAAGTGTGTAGTAGGCAAAAGTTTAGTAGGATGGGCTTTTATCGTGCACGATTGAGAAGGCTGTGATTGGTCTCTCATGCCGTCTAGTACACGGTCTGTAACACTGGATTCCTGCACACTGCTCTCCGGCGCACTGGCTGGTCATGGCGTTGCGGACTGTCCGAAACTTACCCTGCTTTTTAAGTGTACTCGGCGTGTTTCTCCTCAGCAGTGGCCCAAACCCGGTGTTCTCATGTCCGAGCCGCTGTTTATGTTTCCGTACCACTGTCAGATGTATGCATTTAAACCTGGAATCAGTGCCCGCTGTTCTTCCTCAGACCACAATCCTGTAAGTACACTATTTTTTCTCTCTCTGAGAGAGTCAGAAACAGTCTTATGTGCTTACCTGCTTTATGAGTTACAAAAGTTGTCAGTAATATTTCATTGTTCATGTTTTGCATTGAGTCAGCGTTGAGCTCATCGGTTACATATTCAGTACAGAAGAATTT